ACAACCAAAGTTCACGGTGCTGTAGTCAAATCTGAAACACAGTTTGATTTTCCAGCGGTGTTGAAGGCTACGTTCCGGAGGGCAGGAGTCATGATAGTCCATTACATCCAGGGCAGTGGTGGTCTTCGGCAGGCGACCCATATAATGGACCATCATGATTCCTGCCTTCCAGAACGTAGCCTTCAACACTCCAAGCCGTCCGTATCTAGGCCGTGGGTTGAACCAGCCCTCGGTCGAACGGCCACTAATCGAAGGACGATAAATTTTGAAACAGAACTGTGCTATCTGAAACCTAACCTCAGATGCAGTGGACGCGAAATTACGTAATTTAACGATGCCCGGAAGTCAGATTCGATCCGCGGCCTAGCTGGTGGTGCACGGTAGGTTCTATGCGAGGCCGGAGGAAGACAAAGCCGAGTGGTTCACGGCTGATTGGCGGATGTCCGGAGAGATTCAAGGCGTTCGATTCAGGGCTTATTGGTGCACAAAATTGGTGGTGCACGGCTGCGCTCCCGGACGGAGCGCACCGGAGCCTTGCAGTGATTTTGACGTGCGCCACTGAGTCGTCCGTATCTGTCCCGTGTATCGAATCTGCCCAGGGTCGAACGCTGCAGCCGAGTGGCTGAATTCCGTGGCACGAACAGCTTAGCTGGCTCAGTAGACTATGCTAGAGACTGAGTAGTACTGTCATGGCTCTTGCCTGGTGCGCCAGCGTTGGTCAGAAGCTCCGTTATACGAAACTTGCTTGAATTATGAATTTGGCAATTTTAGCCATAGTTATGATGACACAGATGAACTATTCTCATTCAAAAAATAACAATGTATATTGAAGAACTCATGCAATCCTCGGATGTCAATATCTTTGAACGAATGTAAAAAAATTATTATGGATTTCCAACAATAGATGGCAGTTATTTCTAAAATCATGATTACTTGCTGAAAGCCACAGGGACTAAATTCTGCCCTTCGTGCCAAGTGCCAGAAACAGCACATCACTATCTCATAGTCTGCACAGAGTACGCTGAAGCCCGCTCCCAACTGCGACGTCAGATAAACTCCCAGGGGATACTTGTACTCAGTCTTGAAACCCTTCTGGGAGGAGATATCACCAGCAGCCCTACCTGGCCTCAGACCTGCAGAGCCGTTGAAAACTTCATCAGTTCAACCCACCGCTTTGACCCTTAATCGTTAACAAACAGCTGCTTCCGGAGTGAATCGTCCAAGGCGCTGCACTCCGATAATCCATCGAAGAACAGACAGAACATTCTACATCCACAAGGGAAGAGGAAAACTTTGGAGTACTGTTAGTAATAGACGAGTACACTTTACGTGCTTGAAACTGTTTGAAATTAATTTTTATTTCAAGTGTCCCAAACTACCACGTTTCCAGGGGTAATTTGAATTTTTTTGCATCTAGCACCATACAAATAGCATATAAAAATTTTTCAGACATGTCATGAGATAGCTCGCAAAGATCTTTACTCTAAACTTGCTTCTGAAACGTTTTATGGTAAGAAGTTATTAATGAAAAATGCTCAAAATCGTCTTATTACCCAGTTGACAGTTGCATCTGCAGACTGCTGTGAGGCTCCAGTGTGGATGTGGAATTCTAGAGGGGTATTAAATTAACCAGTACACATAGCTTATTGGAAAACAGGACCTGAAAGCTTAGAAAGAGCAGGAACTCTCTGCCTTCAGTCTATTTAGTCTATTGTATACATATTGTAGATGATATCCCTTTCCAGTTTCCAGCTGTGATTGGTTGGTGAGATTGTGAAGTCATCCTCTTTCCAGCTGTGATTGGTTGTTCCCAAATATGGTATGGGTACTGGTTAACTTGATTATTAAACTAACCTCACTTAATACCAACTTAAACTTAGTCATTATAAAGGGCCTAGGAAATTTTGAAAAACCTGCTAAATAAAAGAAAAAAATATCAATCAAACAACAGACAACTAAACAATTCTATAACAAATCTGAGGTACTACACAGTACCTACACAATTGAAATAGTTTGTCCACTTTTGATCCTCTCTGGCCATTAGAGTAGGTTCAGTTACCTGGCAGAGCACTGTATCTAAGGAAATCTTTCCACCTCGGGTAAAAAGTTTTTTTATAAGGGAACTGCTATTTCTATAATTCCACACTAGTCTGCATTACACGGTGTGTGAAGTGTTCAAAGATCATATGGTGTTTATCATATCTCAGTTATGTCGGTGCACGGTGCTGAAGAAAGAGCCAGGTGTGGCCTGTCACTGATTCTTGTCTTTTTTATTTTGAGTTATCTTCTAACTTTAAATAATTTTGAAGTATATTGAATTAAGTTAAAATTTCCAAAGGCTTGTACTCCATCTCCAGCAAATGGAAACAATTTTTGTTTTCTTACATCTCTAGTCAGAATAGTAACTTGCAATTGAAATTTCCAGGCAATGAGATAGCTGATCAAGAGGCAAACCATGCATACAGACACAGAACAGACTTCTTTTCATTCATCCTTGTGCTCTGAAGAATTAATATGCCAGTTGAAACAATCATCTGTCATTCAATAGAGGCTCAGGCCATTGTAGCCTTTTAGGTATAAATGATAATAGCTGTAAAGTGGCATTGACAAAGCAGAAAATTTCTGTATGCAGCCCTGTGAGTAAGTAGGCAAACAAAGCATCATGGATATCAGCATTATTGAATAGATATCAAACAAATTTGAGCTTGATAAGAAAATTAAAAATGAAATGGATTCTAAAAAATTCTTGTTTGCCGCAATGGCTCTATTTTGCATAGTGGAAGTGCAGATTAGAGACTTTGTTGACCATCCCTGTGAGTGGATAGGTACTTGTGCATTAAATATCTACTCTTTCAGCCTTGACTGAATTTTCTGGATCTTGAGTCAATATTTTTGAGCAGCAAATGTCTTTTCTAACTTGTGGAAAGCTATTTGTAGCTACAAACTTATTTGTCAAACCGCAAGTTTGTTTGTTAAGCCATGCTCACATATTATGCTACATCTGTAATATTACCTTGGAAATGAAGTTGCAACAATAACATTCTTCCTCACTTAAACCTTTACCACCAAATTGTACTTTCAAGTTGCCTTCAAAAAAACACCGGTTTTCTAATTATTTCACGTTTTCTTTCATTTTTTTCGAAAAATTCACATGAACAAAAAAAGTCTTAGATTTATTTTTTACATATGTGTACCAAGTTTCAAAGTTATCTGTCTGTAAATAACCAAAATAAAATTTCCAATTTAAAATGGCAATTTCCAATTTCTTGTGGAAATTTTATTTGGTTATTTTACAGATGGATCACTTCGAAACTTGGTACACATATGTAAAAGATAAATCTAAGACTCTTTTGTATGTGTGAATTAAAAAAAAAACGAAAGAAAACGTGAAATTCTTAGAAAACAGCCAAAAGGGGGCCTGTGGAAATCTATCTTCTCCTAGGATTTTCAAGCTACAACATCAAGTCACATATCATTTGATGCGTAAGGACCATATCTATCGATTGGTCCTTGCTGTTTGTTGAAATTCTAATTTTTGTGGGTGGGGTGGGCATTTTTCAAAAAGATTTTGATTTCCCCCCCACCCTTTCGAATTCCCCCCCACCCTTTCGATTTCCTCCCCCCTTCCTTTGCCAAAATATTTTCAAAACTATAACGAAATTGAAAAAAATCTACAACCAATCTCAAGATCTTATATTTGCAAATCGAACGGTATATCTCTCATTGCTGTAGCTTAAAAACTCTAGGAAGATATAGGTTTGCAGTGACAATAAGTGTGAATGTTCAGTAGGGTGTGGCAAAGTCCCAAGCACCTCAAAATAGGCATTCAAGGTGGCATGGATACAAGACTAGACGTTACTGGAGCTTAAATTCAATCAAGGATGGTTGGAACGACTGCATGAGGACCATCCCACGTGACAGCACCTGGGTAACTAAAGATCAGCATCTTTGGGTAGTCTATTTATGTGCCCAGCCGGTAATTTTTGCCTATCTTGAATGTGAAAGAACTCCCCCACCCCTAACCCTTTCGTGAACTGTCGTCAAGGCATAAATCAACGTACAGAGATGACTTTGGTACCATTGGTTTAAGGTGAGACTAAAAACCAGAAAAGTGAAATTTGCGATTTTTTACCCAGAAAATCGGGCGGTAAAGGGTTAAGAGCCAATTTTCTCAGTTTAAAGTCAAAGAAACATTTCAGTTATAATACAGTCTGACATAACTGCACCTCCGCACTGTAACAAAAATTTAGTTACACAAAGATAATTAGGTTCAAGAGTCTATCAATATGGATACAACAAACAGAATTTTCAAATATGTATAGTTGGGCAATATAATGAAAAACTATCAATTACGATGCATGATTAGTAAAAAATGTTTTCTGTGATGTGACACCTCAACTATAACAAAATATGATTAGGGTATATGAGAATATTTGATTAAAACAGACTTGAGATTAGCAATATTGTTACCTACTCTCATGGTTAATAGGTCATGTGAACACCTGCTTTCAGTTTCATTTTAATTTTTCTTCAATTTAATACAAATCCTATATTATTTTGTTGCCGAAGGAAGTCTATTCTGTGTGAAATTAATTCTAAAATTTACTTGAATCTTGTAATACCATTTACAAATGTCTCCACTCTATAATCACTATAATAAGCAAACTTAGATTGCTTTTTATGTTGCTCAATATATTTTCAGTTCTTATGTTCTTATCAAACTAATCTCCACATGAGAAAATTTTTACTGTGGGCACTTTATTTGGGAGTACCTACAGAATATCCTGGTTGCATTAAAATAGAAACAATTGATCTGCAATCTGGTAATATGATAGAAATTCCAGCAAATTAGGGCCATCATATAACTTTTTAAAATTTGAATTTATTATATAAAAATTTAATAATTAGTTGGAGTACCACAAACAGAAATGTATTTTTCTTTGATACTCAATAGTAGTTTGTACTACTAAGGTTCATGTATTTGATTGTGTGCAGCTACTACTTGCTTTGATTACAGATCTAATATTTTTTATTGAAAGTTTGTTCATGAAGCACACAAAATCTAATGGATATTCTAATGCATGATATGAAAAAGTGCCGTGTTGTGATGCACAAACTGCCTGATGATGCAGTCAAGAGGGGCTGGTGGTCTGGACTGAACCTTCCTCAAGTACCTGTTGCTGTTTGCCAAGTTGAGTCTAATGGTAAGCTGTACATTTACAGATGCATCAGTTACTCACAATAATGTTTCAAATACTGAAATAATATGATGATTCAGCTGTCAGTTACATTAGTGTGAATGTCACTCTGAATTAAGCATAGTTACTGTAATTATTTATAGGCTCCATATATTGGATATATATTTTTATAGAGGATATACAGATATCTTTATCATATATATCTTTAACATTTTATTATGTTATATATATATCGTTCACATTCATTTATCAGGTAATATAATTCAAATTATTTACAGCCACAAATGCCAGTGGCTCATCTATGCTACCAGATATGGTTGCAGCTAACATCAAGCTTGAGCCTGTAGATGAAGATGTGAAGGATGAACCTGTTAAAATTGATGAAAATCAGGTAAACTTGGACTATTAATTTCTCCCCCCCTCTGATTTAATTCAATTGCAGTTGAAGAAGTTCCATAGCTTTAAAAGCTGCACTCCTGCAGTGTAAAATATTCAGGCAAAACTATATATCTGCATTCAGTAGAGTACAATCGTATGTTTATTATTATCCTTGCAATTATCTTACTTGAATTTATGATATGATAATGAATTCTAATATTATTGGGTTTATGTTTCAATTTGTTGATGAAGTCATTGTTCATGACAGCAAACTCCTTCTCCTTCATCTTGTGTGCCATGCAAGGAGGAAGCTCAAGTTGAGGCTTGGGACGCCCACCAACGTTCCTCACAGGATGTCACCGCTATGCCTGGCGAGCAGGTTGGTGGTTTGGGGGTTAGAATGATTTGATCAGTCTAAATTGAAGTGATACTTTGTCAACATGATATATGGGAAATAGATTATTCCATGTTATTTTGAATAACTGTTAAATGCAACTGTTTAAAATTGTAGAAATGTGTTAGAAATAGAACTTCAGAGAATTATTTTTTTGTTAATAATCTATTTTCTTATGCTGATGGTCATGAATAAATGAGAAATTTTGCCAGTGGTTTTTCAGAGATTGCTGGCCTCTTTATCTTTTTCTCAAGTCACATTATTACTTGGAAATACTTTTTTGTGATTAAGATTTTATAAAGTATATATATATATATTTTTTCTTCCTTGGAGGATCCTAGTTATGTTGAAACACTAGAGTTTTTCTTGTAAAATCTAAGTCAAATAAAAAATCCTACATTTATGCCAACATCAAAAATCTCCATGTATGTATAAAAGTTTATATGCTTGAAGTCAACCTATGGAACTTAGCATCCCTACAAAAATCAAGAAATACCTAGGCTTCTACTGCAGAGATGTTACGCAATGCTTGGAACTATTCTGGGTCTGCTTTGTTACCAGATCGAAATCAGCTTCTGATCTGAATCTATTTTCTGATTATTAAGAGGCACAAGTGTATAACATTGGTTGTCAGGAGCTTGCACAGTATGGACATATAACATTTGATTTATGTGCCTTTCAAATACTAGGCAGCACCTGTTGCAGGGTTGGATCCACATCAAAATTTTGTTAGGTATTTTATAGGTTATCTTAATCTGACTACCATTCTCACCAGAATCATGTATGAAAACTTGTGTGGTCATCTGCTTAATGGAATATATTTCATGGAAGCTGTACTTATACTGTAGAACTGAATTGTTGAGCCATGGCCATTACACGCAGTACTGGTGCTGCATAACTGAAGTGATGAGTCATGGCCTTGTAATCAGTCTGCTTGGTACATGCACTGCAAGTACCCTGTTGCAGGGTACTTGCACTTGAGCAGTGAGCCAAGACTTCATGATCAGTCTGCTCAGTATATACTTGCTATTAAGGACTTTTTATCAAGCCAATTATTACCTGGTACCATGCAGGCATGATGAGCTTAGAGTGTTGGATGCAGTACACAGGCTGATATTTAGTGTTTATGTTGTAATTCAGCATATTTGAGGATATTATAATTTTGATTATGATTGGTAATAATCAGTGAAAACTCTTGAAAATCAGCAAAATATATTTTATTATAGTAGTGTAGGTCAACCTTTAGTGGCAATTACAGCAACTATTCTCCAAGGTATTGATTCATACCTATTTCTAATTACTGATATGTGACAAGCCTTTGAATGAGCACCAACAATTTGGCTTCTTCAAAAGTTGGAATGGCTTGGAGTTTTTATTAGGTTACAGACACAAAAATTTTCTAAAAATGTCTAAAAAATAATAACATATCAATTAGCAGCAATACTAAACAATGAATCATTGATATGACTGTTTTTGTTCATAACATTTTCAAACATTATAATTTCAAAATGTTGGGTATTTTCCTTATTTTTACCAACATCTCTGAGTTTTGCTCTATCCGTGACACACTGCATGACTGCCATGTTCACACTATACACCTTTAACACTCAATACACAGCATCAGCATGACTACCATGTTCACACTATACACCTGCAACCCTAAATACACAGCATGACTACCATGTTCACACTATATATCTGCAACACTCAATACACAGAATGGCTACCATGTTCACACTGTTACCGGTGTCTCAATGCGGGTGAGACGAACTCATCGCCTACTTTATCTGACTGATTGGTAACAAAGAATGAACTAAACTAATATGATGACTAAATTTGGAAAAGTAAAGTAAAACGCAAATACTGTTTCTAATAACTATTTGGATCTCATGCAGTAAGAGTGACAGGAAAATGACAGGATGAAAGAAAATGTGTAAAAATGATTAACTGAAGCTGAACTAAAGATGACACCAAGAAAATGCACTTGGACCAATGAGTAAGATGCACACCAATAACTGCTTCCAATGCAAGCCAGTTAGGAGGTTTATAGGGTGCTTTGGAGCAAATCACTCAAGAGGTTAGGAACTAGGGAGCGTGGGACAGCAATTTATACTGCACCACACTTTAGAATAGTTTTTGGCATAAATTTAGGTAATCAATTACTGATCTAAACCTGACCTGAAAAGAATGAGAATTATTTTAGTTGAATTAACATATAAGAGGAACAAGAGGGTGTGCTGCAAAGTAGCCTAAACCACCCCCGCCAACATGCCCCCCCACCAGCACATCCCTTGTGCCGATGATGCTTACTAAGGACATTTTATTAAGCGCATTACAAAATTTTACAGTTAAAACAACTATCTGAACATCAAAAATTACTTTGTCACCCTGCTGAGATCCCATACTCTAACAAGGATAATTTATTGCACTTTCTTAACATCTACAATTAAAATCCAATTCTGCTCAGCAGACAGTATATTTTTCTACCACATACATTTTAGAAACTCATTAATTACAAACATTAATAACTTATTCTAGTGATTAAAATTACAACAACACATGTGAAAAAATTTTCACCATCCCCACACCATGTCAAAAATAGTAATAAAGCTAGAACTTATATGTTAATCACAAGTAATTTTCAAAAGTTTAAACTGCCGTGACATCACTGTTGCAATGCACACACTTGAAAATATTTGCTTTGGCAATACTGCAAAATCCAAATGCAGGAGCAATGACAAATAAAACATTGTTTAAATCAAATGCCACAATTCGCAACAACAAATGGCCTATGAACCACACCTCTGTCTATTACACTTTTGTTCAAGAGTGACAAGCTGAACATTGGGAAGATCCTGGACTGAGCCCTTGGATCTTGTGTGTCTTTCAGTTGCTTGACTTGTACTATCTGGCTCACCAGACCGTTTTGTCATCTTTTTCAAAGGAGACACTCTGGCAGAAGGTAATTGGTCTTGTGTGAATCCAGTGAAATGTGAATCTGGCTCTTTATCATCAGAGTCATCCAACTCCTCAGACTCGAGGACAGCAGCTGGGGTTTCACACGAGACATTCTGTTCAGCTCCTTCAGTTTCTTGGAACTTCCCGTCAGCCAATGCAAGTTCTGGATCAATGTCTTCATGTGACTGATCCCCCACAAGCAAGGACTTCAGTGATGCAAGGCTAAATTCGCTATCATCATCATCCCAATCCATTGTGAGCTTATACAACTGTTGCAATCTTGTTATGCCCTCTGTGGCCTCATCATTAGCTTCAGCCACTACCTGTACTCCACCAATACAATTGTGAGCGTCTGTAGCACTGTCAACCACTTGTTCCTGCTCAATATAGTAACAAGCATTTACAGCTGCAATAACCACCTGTTCTGGTACAGTGCAAACATGAGCATCATGAATTTCAACACTGCAAACCGATTCAGCCTCAACTGCTGCTTCAAAATGACAACCTCTACAGAGCCCATGTACTTCAGATCTCAATGAAGATGACTGCAATGACCGATCCAATAACTTTGAGTTAGCAGCATCAGCCGACCACATTTTTGGCTGAGAACTGGCCAAAGAATTACCAAAACCAGAAAAGAGCAAACTTGAATCATCATCTGAACCAAAAACGTTAATGCTGTCAGGATCTGAACTTGTCACTTAGGCCTATAGAACTTTCAGAATCCACAGAAGAGTGACTAACACTAGTCAATGGCTCTGTACTCTCAACCTCTCCAATATCATGCATTCTTGACCCACTCATGATATCGTCACCTCTCTTATCTCACTGCCAAAACAAATGAATGAGCTCTAACATGCTCACCACCATTCTGGTCCACCAACTCATAGGTGACTCCATTTTCATTGGCAACATTGACCTTGAAAGGCCCTCTGAAAGTTGGACTTAATTTATTAGTGCTAAGAAAACCCTTATGTTGACACTTCATGAGCACCAACTGTCCCACACTAAATTTAACAAATTTGGGATGGCCATGTTGCTAGTGTTCAGCCAGAGTCTTTTGGAGAGGTCTGTCACAATTAGTATTATGGGAACATGTGAGCAAAAAGTTAGATGGAGACATCTGTAATGCTGAATGCAAAGTATGATTATAAACGATTAGTGCTTTTGGTAATACCACATCCCATGGCACCTCATCACTGACCAGGCTACGCAGAAAGTTTTTGATAGTTTGATTTATACACTCTATAGTTCAATTGCTTGTTGGACAATAGGGAGTGGTAAGCTTATGATTAACATGAGATTGCATCAAAAATGCAAAAAATTTGGTACATGTAAATTCAGGTCCATTATTGGTAAGAATATTAGTTGGGATCCAAATAAGTGAGGGAAAAATCTGATCATGGAATGCCTTCACAATGGTCTCACTCATTTTATTCTTTTTTGGAACTGCTGTAATCCACTTAGAATAGTGATCCACTAAAACCAGACAACCAACAAATCCTCTGGGAGACCTGGGCAATTGAATTAAATTAGCAGCCACCAATTCGAATGGGTAACTGGGACACATCTTTAAAGTTGGTGGTATCAAAGTGGTAAAATATTCCTCCAAAATCTGACAACTGTGACATGTGCTACACACATCCTATGCCACACGATACCTAGATGGGTGCCATACAAGTTCAAAAATAAGATCCAACAATTTGTCTTGACCTATGTGAGCCAGATTGAAGTGCAGCAAGACACAAACATCAACTAAACTCTCAAAAGGAATGACCACAGTTGGACTAGTATCACCATAAAATATCAAGCCACTTTGAATTGATAATTTTGCTGAATGGTGAGCAAAGGCTTTGATCTTTTTCGGCCACACTTGAGTTGGCACTTGCTTTTTGAGCTCTTTGTACAGACGTTTCAATTCAGGACAATGAGATTGCAATACTCAAATAGTGTCAAGATCTGACAACATAGACAAACCTGTCACTGTAGGAAATTACCTTGCGTCTTAAAACGCAAATCCCGAGTAT